GTTTCAGATCGAGTACATCTCCCACTTCACGAATCATCGTCATTTGCTGAATCGGTGAAATTGGTTGGGGTGCAAATGGTTATAGCAGGAAGAAAACAGTAGCGTGAACGATGGAGATTCTTACTTGCAGGAGTTTCGTGTGCGCCGATGTCAGAATTGGAGGCAAAACTCTCCAGCCTACCACTAAGGCTTGGGTGACTTCTTCCACCATTTTCTTTGGATGTGTGGCAGGAACATCTTCCGGATCACCCTAAAAAGGACATGAAAAAAGGAGAAAAAAATTGAAAAAAAGTCCATTAGTTTTCTATGGGAAGTCTTGGCATTCCTCAAAAATTTCCATGAAACAGTCCATTAAGCATATCTTTCTACAAGAACGTCATGCTGGCAGTGCAGACCACTAGTGAACTTAGTTGTTTCCCTTTGTTCATTGAACGTGAAAATTAGTAACGACATAGTTCAAGAATTTTTTGATACGCGGCCTCTTCAAACTCGTTTAAAACTAGATGACCTCTCCTCTAGCTGCAGAAGTAACTGTATGAAATGAGCTGAGGCACACTATGTCTTCTACACCACACCGAAGGACGCTACCTTTTACTGGGGAAATTCTTGCGAAATACGACTTCCCTTTGCTCTCTGAATGATCAGCAGATGCGACCCATCCCCAGTCCCATTCCACTTGGGGTCTCCCAGCGTTGAGGATGTCGTGCGAGAACAAAAATTATCTATCAAAATCGTTTTCTCAGGCCAAATACGTCCCCGTCTTTGTCCTACGACCGGGTATGAGCTCCTCGAGAAAAGAGAACAGACGAAACTCTAGTCATAATATACAGAATCATAAACTTCCCTGCCTCATTAATGTTCTGCATTTAGCCCATCCTCCCTCCAAAGATGGCTGAAAGCCAGACTCCTGGTGGAGATAGTGATTTGGAAATGATATCTTAATTACCGGGAATCAACTAGACAACTCTGCGACAGCATGTCCTCCTGGTTTCTCCCCTTGGGGCAAGCAGACTCTTACTGACTAACTTTGAGTGCCAAGAAAACACGTGTTACGTTTTGTTTGTAGGGAGCGGTGAAGCTGTAGTACTAGTGGAAAACTAAAAAATTCACAAGACACGCACCAGAATTGCCAGCATTGCTCCATACGTAGTGCTTTGAATGGCGAATTCGGGGCGTACACAGCCGATGATCTAAAAGCAAATGGAGAAGATCGATACTAAGGTATAAGCTAAACATTAGAATAAACGAACAGAGTAGGATAAAAATTGAAATTAAAGTATGCGCACCTGATCGCGGCACTGCTTGGCAAGACCCCAGTCCGGAAGATGAACTGCAGCTTCGAAAAGGAGTTCCGGATTTTCGACATGAGAACTCTTTGCTATATCACACACTACTCTCCAGCGGCACAATTCTTTCGTACATCTAAAGAGATTGATAACCTAGCGGTCTGCCTGGAACTCGGACATGCACAGTATTTTCCGACCGAAGATAAACTGTACACCCATGTCCGAGGACGGTCTTTCCTTGTGCGTGGTCAGCTGCCACTCCCCAACACTTCAGAAAAGCACGAAACAGGGCTGGATGGTAGCGATTCCTGCATCGGGTCTCCATGATCCGCCAGCGCTAGCCTCAGTGTGCAGCACTTACGTCAATACCAAGATTGCGTAGCGAAACATGCACTCATCGGTACAGAACAACTGGAGTGAGAGGGCGCAGATAAATAGCGCGTTTGGCTATGGCTGGGCTCCCGGCGGACCGCGCGATAGCGAGGGCGAAACATTGATGATAGGCGCTAGTTGGAGGGTAAGCACGGCCTCCAGCTCTTCATAGGCTGAGACCTTTTGACCTTAAAACAGCACGCTACTGAGTAGCGGACCAGTCTCTTTAACCGTGGCAACGAATCACTATCCTGAGGAAGTGAGTATATAGTTTGTCTTTTAAAATACTCAACGGCGGTCTTTTTGCTGTTGTAGGGGCTAACCTTTGCTTCCATTTCGCCGCTTATCGCTGCAGCGACTACAGCCCGTACTACGCCATGGTGCTTTCTTTCTGTGGCCATCTTTTCATGCGGCGGAAGGTGAGTAGCAAAGACGCCAAGACCCTTAAATCGCTTTCGACCTCTTCCGATCCCATAAGGTTGAAGATAAAGTCCTACGCCGTTAACAATCTCTTTTTGGATGCAACACGCATTCCACTTCCATTCTGAACAGCAGTGGCTTATTGAATGCGATGTGGCTTTACATATTAGCACAGGGGCCGAGTCGTATGATATCCAGTCAGGTTCCACAATGCTCAGAACGAATCTGGTATCGAATTCGCTTTTTCCGAGTGGGGGAGTAGGGGGTGCTGGTTTGAATAACGGCGAGCACGATCCGGGATTCTGCCCCCGGACCGCGCCGCGTAGAAAAGCTAGGACCTTTGCCGACTCACCACCTGCTAGCATATGAATACCGTGCTGCACTGTTTGCGACCTCGCTCTATGTGCGGCCGCATGGTCCTCGTAGGCAGACTGAGCGTTGTTACCCAATTCATGTTTCGATCCCAGTAGCCACGATTTGACTGCAGATATACCTCTAAGTTTATTTACAAAGGAGTTCCAATGAAAGTTTCTTTTTGGATACTAACAGATTACTCACTGTATGTAGGCATTATCCAGGAATTCGTATTCCATGAAATTGGCCTCGTTAACTGAATTCTTTCCAAACTGATTTTCCATCCTATGAAGCATAGTACGAGCAGCCGACTGTCCATAATCCAATGCCTCCTCTATGTCACCCTAAAAATCAAGATTTTTGGTCCTAGGGGATAAGCTGCATGAATTCACGCACTAGCTGTTGCAGAGCTAGCATTTTGATCGTATCCATTGTAAGTGCACGACGATTCCACACAGCAGCATATTGGTCCTGCTCAGCAAGTTCGGAATAGAGCAAGCCGAGGCAGGTCAACACATCCTGACAATGACGTAATTTCAAAGAGAGAATTTCAGAAGGAAACTTCTTACAGGAAAAACCTGACAAGAAAGGGAATGAACAAGAAACGAACTATGTTTTCCTGGACGATCCCTTCAGGAGACTGCTGCATAACAACTGTAGTGCTGAGCATGGGTGGTATACAAAGGGCCCGATTTTCCAACAACAGAATCCCACGATGCCATGAGTGGTAATAGCGAGATATGAACTGTCAACATTGGATCTTCACTATTGGAATTACAAACTGATGACCGAGAAAAGTAGGTTTACCTCAGTCGCATTAGCATCAATGTGAATTGGTGGATTACACTGTGAGAAGGTTTCCAGGAGAATGTTGATCACTGGATGAACAGCATGAGCTTGTTGCACATGCACACCCGATGTCATAAAAGGCACTGCCAATCCTTAAGTATCATAAAAATGAAGAATCGTCGTCATCTGAGCTACAGGAGTCACTGAATATTGAACAAAGTGCTCCCTTGAGAGCCTGCCCGCAATTTACCTCCAATGAAATTTCGTTCTTCTTCACTCATTGAAATCCACAGAGAGTGGAACAGATGAGAGAACATATCGCCAATGAACCCAATGTCATCTGAAAATTATAATAGAAACGAAAGGTAATACAATTCAATGCTGAGTTATGGGCGAAATGAATGCTGAGTTGTGGGCAAATCATGACCTCTGACAGCGCTAGAACCTGCACCTCACATTTACAGGGCTAGTAAAGCCCTGTAAATGTAAGGTGCAAAGCATTACAGCCGTATTCAACCCTCAGCTTGATAGGCTTTATGAATAGCGACAACCGATGAGGTGTAGGTTGCTTCCTTCCAGTCTTCTCAAATCTAGTCCTGCCTATGACTCAAAACTCATTAATAGCTTTCGGAGTGCGAACGGCTGCGTTAATCTCAGTTATCATGATTAAACAGGCGGAGGTTTTTTCCCAGTACTATTCATAAATGACAGCTTTAATTGCCTGAGGGCAACCCTTTATCACACCGCAGTCCTTCCGATAGCCAGAATAGTGTAGCACGGATTTCTAGATTCTTTCCAATGTTAGTTTTCCAGCATGAATTTTAGTCATTGAATCACCCATACTTTCGCAAAGTGGCTATGCCTTCAAGGCAGTCATAATTTGGGGATACCCGCTAAGGGGAGGGGGTGTATTGGTGAGAGGTGGGAGTCGCATCTGCCTTGGAGATAAATGTTTTTGGATATTACTCACTCTCACTTGTTACATACTTATTACTACACTTTTGATCTTACTTGTTGTCGTTTCTCGTTTTTCCCAAGTGCGCTGACACCACGCCACCCTTCCGCGACGGCAGTTTTTTTTGAAAAAGTGGTAGAAAGTTATGAAAGCAGTATGGTAGGTAGGGTAGGGTGGGCAGTGGGGCCGGGGTCGCATCAGAGCAGTAAATTTCGATGGGGCGTGTTTTACGCAAAATTTCCTCAACGGCGGGACGTGCCCTGGAGCTCGAACGGCACGATTCTCCTATTCCTTTATTATCAGATGGGCGGAGACTCACAATCACATTGCTTCTCTAATTAATGCATCTCTCTTTCCAACATGGTGAAGAATGGCAGGGAGACCTACAACTAGGAACAGAGTGGACGCTCCCTGGTGTAGACGTAACGCCCCTTCGTTCCTCATTGTAGGCCACCCCATTTATACTCCAAATGCGGTAGGCGTGGTTGCGCACTTCAACTAGGCGTGACAGCCCCTGTGCTTCTGGTGAGAGATTTTCATTTTGATGCAACTGTGACCATGTCCTTTCCCAACACAGACCAAGATGACAGTTGTCTTAATTTGAAATAATCCACAAGTAACCCATCCTGTGTCATGTCCGAATGCCACACCCCTCCGATTTTTGGGATATGGAGTGTGACTACTGCCAGGTTAGACCTCTGTGCCAACTGCTCAATTTTTCTATACTTTGTCTCGCATAATAGGCCAACTGAGCGAGAACTAGGCGAAGAAGCAGATGATTCTTACCCTGTACAGTGAAGACCAGGCCTGAGCCAGATTGATTCTTACCTGTACAGTGAAGACCAGGCCAACGATGCAATCCACAGCCGACGAAAAGTCGAACGATGCTGCTTCAATCAATAAACTCTTTTGATCCTCGAGCAATACGTCCATACGAGAGGACATATTTGACTCTCCATTTCCACTGCCCTCTTGGTCCGTCTCCATCGGCACTTCTTCATCTACCTTAGTCTAAACTCAATCATGTATTGTTTCCATGGAACTGCCCATTGCGAACTGGCACGTAAAATCGGTTTCGAAAGAGAAGTGATTACATCTGTATCAATTTTGGCGTTGTATAGTGTAGATGAAATGGTGTGAACGTCAGTCTCCATATTCTGAATTCAATGAAGCCGGACGGAAGCCGGCTACTGCATTCATAGTCCTCCAAAGGGTAGCAGAACTGTCAATGAATATACGACGATGTCCAGCCGCCGACGACACTGAAAGAAGTACTGCAGTAAAACTCTTGGAAATCACATTTCTGCATCATAATATTGAAAGGTATACCTGAAGCAGGGATGCATCGTAGCAGCAACCATAATGCATGGCGCAACCAGAAATAGTCCTTGAATGGTTCCCAGTACTTCTCTCGGAGAATGTACGTTAAACGGGCTATTGGATTAATAGCCAAATTCCGTTCAAACACAATAAGGAACTTCTCACGCATTTCTCGGTCCTAAATCAGACTTTAGAAAAATCCAAAATCAAATCAAAATAGATAAATCAGGAGCCAGAATATCGTTCGCTACTTTCCTTTTTTTTAAACCAAATTCTACTATACTAGCAGGACACCCTGAGTTGATACAAAGAAATGCTTTTGCTGAGCGATCTGCAACTTCCAAAATGCTTGTTTTGTCAATGTGAGTGGCGGACTCCAATTCCACTGTCGATGGACAGAACAATATGGGCTTGGCAGTACTTGGGGACTGAGGTAATCCACAACGTATCATGTAATTAGTACCTGTGCGGTTAAACCCCAGTGAAAAGCGTCCTCCAACTTTTCGGCGTAATCTGAGGTAAGCAGAAGTGGATGTTCGAACACAAACAGCACGACTTTCAAGAACATTTTTCATCAGTTCGCCGTTGGTTCTGAACACAATGACTAGGTGCAGTCTGTACAGTTTCAACTGGAATCAAACCTGTATCGCTTTTCAACCACACTCTGCAAACGCACAAGCAAGGGAAGACCTGGATTCGCACAGTTCTGAAAAGAAACATCTAGAACACAAGCTAGTGAAAAGAATACCGTAACAAATTGATGGTTCTAATGTTAGTGTACAAAAGAATGGGTCATTCTGCTCATGGCGTAAACCGTCAAAGTCGTCAAGTTTACATTGAACAGGAAGGCACTGCCAATGCGCCAGGCCAGAGCATCTGCGTGATTTCCAGGCAAGATCACCGGTGTGAAGGCTCCTGGAGGTTATCACTCTACTACCGACCGACCAGCTTACCTCAGGCGTGTAGACAACGTCGCCATAGTTTGTGATTTGTTTTTCAAGATTCGACTCTGAGAATCAAGCTGAACCTCGAGTGCCCTGGGATCGTATGTATCCGAAGGATTTATGAGACAAATTGTACACTCACTCCGAGGATGGTCTTTTCCACGTGCGGGGTGTATGGGTCTGCAGCTGCCTTCGCGTGCCACTTTTTCTGCTCCAAAGTGTAAGGAGACGCGGTTTCAGGGTAACGTACGTTAGTGCCGTCACCATACTCCGCCGCGCTACCTCTCATTTCGTCGATCCAAGTCCCGCCAGCGAAAACACACTTCAGTAGTGAGACAAAGAATTTAAGCGAGAGAGCGCCGAAAATTAGCCCGTTTGGTTAGGCTGGGTTGCTGATATGGCGCAGGCGCTTTGCGCACAGTAGAGTACGGAGACGGCATCAGGGCACCACTGCCCTCCAGCCATCTCCCCTTGCAGTTTGGGGTCACGCTACTGCAGCTGCTCACCTATTCTCCCCACACACGGCAAGGGCCCGGATCTGTGGAGATAAGGGTACAGTTTGCTTTTAAGCATAGGCGTGGGAATGAGGGCAGTGAATGATCTCATCAGTATTTTTTTTCATGCTCGAATTCAGCGTGAAGTACGCGTAACAAGGTAGAATTATCACAGCTGCCTCCACGGACAGAATGTTTGTTACCTCCTCTTTAGCTTCCTCCGCTGTCTACTTCTCAGTTCTTGGGCTCGATGTGCCTCAAAAACACCACATCTTCCTTAAAATTCTTACGAACTACGGAGACTACCTACTCGGCGTCGCGTACTGTGAACCCACCAACCACAGACACAAAATGAATGGTATAGACCCCACCTACGTCGCGATTGGCTGTAACGACGAAGTACGGAGACAAACGCTCCCAGATAATACTAGTCCTTGCGTCGATGATTTTGTCGAAAGTAGAGCGTTCAATCAGAGGAAGTAGGACGTTTTGACAGATAGTCCTTTTCGCTTCTGCTGATATAGCCTCAACACGTGGACGCAACATCTCCAGAGCCATCGCTATCATTTCAGCTGTTGCCATACCTTGAATAGAAAACTTACAGCGCAGGTAAAAATATGGGCTGGAAGGTACAAAACAGAATTGGGACATAACGGATAGCTGACCTTTCTCTCTAGTTGCTTCTCCTTGTTCTGTAATATGCCCTATGTGCTCCCTAACAGCCTTCTCGAGTACCTTCAAACAAGATATTTAGACTGCAGTAGGGGAAATTACTGCGATTAAACGAAATCATTTTATAGGTCAGCCCATGCAACGCTGAACTGAATTTTCAAGGTGTCAAGATTTTGGTAGGGTAAGCAGAATCCCTGTGGGGGCTTTGATCCCTAGTAACTGCTCTTCTCCTTCCTTCGTATAATACCTTTGAACATTTTCTACAGTCTTCGAGGGGGTTCAGGCTCGTTCATGTTTTCATCCACCGAGGGTGGTTAGAAGCTCAAGAGTTACACGTAGCCACTGTGCTTACCTTTTTCATCCTTTCATTTTGTATATGTCCCCCCCCCTCTCGCCTCAACTAATTGACACATTCAATTCAATCGCAACTATTCAGTAAATTTGTTTAAAACTCGATGATACCAAGGAAACATAGAATTGACTATGAAACGACCTTGATGTATGCTTGTAAACACATCGCGTCCAAGTATCCTGGCTGCTGTGTACAGATGACTCGAAGCAACGACAAAGCCGTGAACGCGTTCATTATCATACATGTCGACGACCTTGAAAACTGCGGTGTAATATATCCAATATCATTATCTAACAGTGGAGTGATTTAGCTGTAGCAACGTTTAAGGCAAAAGAACTGAGACATCATGGAAAGAGTGAAGGCCTGACGTTCCTGAACGAACATTCTACGGCTACCTGAGCAACGCCTTACTCACATAAGGTAGCCGGGTTCCCAGCTGCTAAGAATGTACTACTTTGGCTGCTCTGAGTAGGGTAGTAGGTTTGATTTGGGCTTATTATGCCCGAATAGGGTTATAGACGCTCACAGCAAGCATCGCACCAAGAACAGCTAACGCTTGCGTTTGGGTACTGCCTGGTCACCTTTACTCGTCTGAGCCCTGTTTCAAGCAACCAGCGTTTCTCCTTCGGAAGCTCACACAATCCTTAAAACCAAACGAAAGCCTCATTTAGATTTTAAATGGTTTTTCCAATGGGTCGTTCAGCACCGAGACGTTGCCATTTCAATGCCCGTTATGCCCGTGGTACTACGGTGCCCTTCGAGACACTGCACACGTCCCCGAGAATCCTGGTCCTTGCCATGTGCGTGGTAAATGGGTTCGTAACTTAAGTGGCGTTGCACTTTCTGTGCCGAGAAGTGCACGAGAACAGGACTTGATGATAATAATAACCAGGTACCGTTTTGGAACTCGCACCCGCAGCCACATGACAGCCACGCGCCTAACCATGGCCGAATCTCTACTTGTCGCCCTCCGTTTCCATCCCCCAGGGAATAGCACCTGGCCATTACCACTCTTCAGCCTCATCTGAGGGCGCTTTCAAGTGACAACTATTACTCTTGGACACCTATTACACATTTTCTCGCACATTGGAAAGATCGTTTTCGGAGTAAGTGTACAGTTTGTCTTAAGGCGTGAGGAAAAACAACTACTCTGAGTCAGAGCAGCTGGAGTCTTCTGAATGTCAATAGGAGGGAATTAACCATGAATACTTGTCACTCAAAGCTCTGAAAAAAATAGTATACCCGATTTGAAATACACTCACTTCACGTAGGAATTGAAATGGTCGTTCAAGTACTTCGATATAAATTGATTGAGGATCTCGAATTCGTACATGCCAGTCATCGAACAGTTAGATTTTTCAAACAGTTTAGAGACAAGCATGTTGACAAGGCGAACCAGCTGAACGATCAGTTTGAAACATGACAAATATTTAGAAGTAAGACATCCACAAGAACTAAAATATTATACAGGAAAAAAAACTAAGCCTCACCGTGCTGTGTCCACAGTTCAGACAGGATATTATCGCTCTTTGAAGAGGGCGGACAGTTTGAAGCAGTAACGGTTTTGGCTGTAAGCAATTGTACAAAATATTACATAAGGCAATTATCTGAGAAGTTCAGACTATGACACTTTAATGACTAGGCTTTGTGGAGCGGGTCAGCCAGCGGCGACGCATAGAAACTGAGGAGAGAATTTCTAGGCTTGTTGGACAAACATAAGCAGCATTGTCATGTCATTCAAAAGGTCCTGACAAATGTCTGCACGGGAGCAGAAGATCTCCCGAGGCACACCCTTGCATTTTGTTTTGTGATGACAATGTAGTGGCAGATATTCACATAGAGCGCGGTGAACCAAAGTAATGTTTGACTCTCTCAGTTATTGCTATTCACTAGGATAATCGCAGAAAAGGAATTCTTACAGGTGGGATTGGTTTAGCGCGGCGCCAAATCCGTTCTCCACCAGTTGTTGAAGCGGCTAAGCGACAACAACTGTTAAAGGACATATACGAACAATACGATACAGTCATCGCATGCTGGCTTCCACGATTGGTGGAAAATATGGGCATCTGCCATCCCCCTTGGTTTCGAGCAGCGCCTAACCCGTCGCGTCTGACAAGCCTCTAACAGTGTAGATTCCGCATGATAATAAGGCCGACAGGAAATTTCGACCTCGGACAGCACTAATCTTCCTCATAGCGTACTACGACCACGGACTTGTCATTAATTGGCTTGACAAGGATATAGGAGCAGTCCCAGGCTTGATAATATCACTTACCATAATTGTCACCAGATTGATCACAACTTCAAGAGCTTGCTGAGACTGAGATATTGACTGAGCGAATTGTGCCTGGTTCTCCTGCCGTACTAATGACTCCGGCGGAACTGTTAACTCTTTCTCAAGCCTTAAAAAAAGTAAAATAGTCATAGTTCAGGGAACGAAACCAAGTAATAAGCTGACCATCCGACTTTGATGGTCACTATGTCTCCCCAGACAGCGGACTTGAGACACTGCTTCATGAGACCTATACTTCGTTTTCCGTTTTCTACCGTAGCCTGGTGCAGTTGGTGTGGCTGAACGCCAGTGGTGGGCTAGAAATGTCGAGCTGTGATTGGCGGAACGATATCACAATTGACCAGAGGCCGTCAGAACTTCATATCTATCGACCGTACCTGTATAGCAAACTTCAGGAGCATGGCTACTACTTCATCTACGCATTCTTTTGACATTTGTTTGTATAACTGGTCGTCAAAATCGCCTCCTGCACTGCCTGAAACTGAATGCTGTGAGTTCCGACTGTGATCGACCTTTTGGGACAAAACTGAAGCTCACTTGTGGGAATACCTCCTGACGGGGGAGCTGTAGGTCGTGATCCCTCCTGATCGTTCAGCAGTGACTCGAACTTAACAATTATATTAGGAATTCGCTTGGAACCAAATTCTCCACAAACAGTGGGCGTTTCCCACTTGCCCTACCTCATCGTCGTGCGCTGTAAGGCCTTGTGTTAATTGCTCAACCTTCTGCAAACGCAGCAACTCCCATTTGATGACCATCTCGCACATATCCAATGCCAGTTTTCTGGTCATTACGCTGAAATGCATGAATATCGGTGAAGAACAAACAGCAAATGAGAACTATCGCACCCATCCATCGCAGAGTTTGGTGTGCTTATCACACGACGTACAGCGTTCATCAATGGCTTGAAGAGTGCATGACGACATGAGAAGTATGACCGGTAATTACGCACTACCATGCTCCTAAAAAGATCATTTCTCCACCAAATTCCACTGCCCTGTAAGGCTGCGTTTATACTTTGCGGCAGCGTAGCGTAGCGCTTCCAGCGTACGCCAGCGGCAGTGCCGGGGAAAGGATAGATATCGATCTAGCTTCACCAGCGTTTCTCGAGCGTTAGCGGCACGCCAGCGTTTTGCTAGCGCTTGCAGCGGCAGGAGTAAGCGATATGTTGGCCGTGAGAGACGGCGGAATCGAACGTGTACAGTAGAGTATGTGGCCGTGGAGACGCGGAATCGACGTGTATAGTAGAGACTATGTGGCCGTCGGAGACGCAGAAGCGATGTGCATTGTAGAGACTAAGGGCGAGTGAGAGACGCGCAATCGATGTGTTTTGTACCCTCCAGCTCTCCCATAGTCTCTACTCCCCTGCCGCTGCAAACGCTGGCGTACGCTAGCGTGCGCTAGCGTACGCTAGCGTGACGCTGGTGACGCTGGGAACGCTAGATCGATATGCATCCTCTCCCCGGCACTGCCGCTGGCGTACGCTGGAAGCGCTACGCTACGCTGCCGCAAAGTATAAACGCAGCCTAACGGAAGAGCTAGCATACACTATGTGTTGG